TACGTAGGTCGGGGGGTAGGTCATTCCAGAGGGCAGGAGCTGCCACAGAGAAGGCTCTCCCCCTGGGGGTCGCCAGCCGGCATTGTCTGGCCGACGGCACCCTAAGGAGGCCCTCTCTGTGGGAGCGGACTGGTCAAAGGGAGGTGTTTGGTAGGAGGCGGTCTTGCAAATACCTAGGTCCATTGCCACGGAGCGCTTTAAAGGTTGTTACTAACACCTTGAAGCACACCCGGAAGGCCACAGGCAGCCAGTGCAGCTCGCGCAGGAGAGGTGTTACATGGGAGTATCTAGAGGCCCCCAGGATCCCCCTCGCGGCCGCATTCTGAACTAGCTGGAGCCTCCAGGTGCACCTCAGGGGGAGCCCCATGTAGAGAGCATTGCAATAGTCCAGGCGGGAAACAACGAGGGCTTGAGTGACCGTGCGTAGAGCGTCACGATCCAGAAAGGGGCGCAACTGGCGTATCAGGCGAACCTGATGAAAAGCCCCCCTGGCCACGGCTGTCATATGGTCGTCTAAAGACAGCCGAGTATCCAGGAGGACGCCTAGGTTCCGGGCCCTCTCCGCGGGGGCTAATGACCCCGATAGCCAGGGATGGAGCCAACTGGCTATGTCGTGACGCCGGAAACCACAGCCACTCGGTCTTGGACGGGTTGAGTCGAAGCCTGTTCCTCCCCATCCAGACTCGCGCGGCCTCCAGGCACCGGGACATCACTTCTGCGGCATCGTTGGGGTGGTCCGGGGTGGAGATATACAACTGGGTGTCATCTGCGTACTGATGAAACTCCACCCCGAAACCACGGATGATCTCACCCAGTGGCTTCATATGGATGTTGAACAGGAGAGGCGAGAGGACCGACCCCTGCGGTACCCCACAAGTGAGGCACCTCGAGGTCGACCTCTGCCCCCCTGCCAACACAAATTGCAACCGGTCCGAGAGGTAGGAGGAGAACCACCGTAAGACGGTGCCCCCCAAACCCAACCCCTCTAACCGGTGCAACAAGATACCATGGTCGATGGTATCGAAAGCCGCTGAGAGATCTAACAGGACCAGGATAGAGGAGCAGCCTCTATCCCGAGCCCTCC